GAGGACTCCCAAGTTGCGGGCCCTTTCTGAGGGGTTTAAATTGGCTTCGATGCCTCCTTTCGGAACCGCCGGGGAGTCATGGGTCGGGTTCCTGGAGCGGTTTGAGTGCTTCTTGATCGCGAACACCTGACAAGGCTATTCGCAGGCACACACATGCAGTTTTTTCCTCAATGCCTGCGGACCTGAAATGTTCGGTACTGCCCGGGCTTTGGCGGCTCCCCAGCCAGTGTACGAACTTGGCTGGGACGAACTAATAGCGGGTCTTAAGAACCACTACGTGCCTATCCCTTCCAAGATTGCTCGCCACTATGCCTTTCGGCAATGTGTGCAAAAGGAGACGGAGTCCATCAGCCAGTTCCTCCAGTCCCTAAGAACCGCGGAGATTCAGTGCAAATTCCTAGATCTAGACGACAATCTAGTCAAACAATTTGTGTATGCTGTGCGCGACATCAGGCTTGAGTGGCGGCTCCTGGCCAGAGCCGATATCACCCTGCCACAAGCTGTGGATGAGGCGAGGACAGCGGAGCTGTCCGAAGAATCCACCGCCAAGATGTCCCGGTTTCTGCGTCCGCCACCTCCACCAGCACACAGGGCTTGCCTAATTGACGAATTCGCACTGTGAAACGAGCCTGACGATGAGGACCAGGTCAACCACCTGAGGGCCATTTCAAGACGACAGCAGCTGCCGGCAAATCGACAAGCCACAGCAGCCGCCGCTTGCCTGGGTTGTGGTGGCAACCATGCCCGGGCCACCTGCTCCTTTAAATCATCTGTCTGCTGCCACTGTAATAAAAAGGGACACCTGGCGCAGGTCTGCCAGGCCATTCTACCACTGCGTCCACAGCCCGAATTCCCTCAGTTGCCTTACAGTCAACCGGCACAACTGCGGCCCCTGCAATCCCGTCAGCAACACAGACGCAATGACTGCTTCGCCATGGACAAATCTCCCTACCACCCCTGCAGAGTTGGTCAGCCAGGTGACGGCCGGCTCTAAAAAAATAATTCTGTCCCTTCTCATCGAAGGGTCGCCCTGCACCATGGAGGTGGACTCGGGGTCTTTTCCTGACTCTGCCCCGGCATCTCCAAGGTCCAGCTGTCTCCGCCGGACACCATTCTCCGTTACTACCGGGGGACTCAAATTCCCACCCTGGGTTGCTATGTGGTGCGGGTGGAATATAGGGAATTTGTTTGCTGTCTGGCTGTTCTGTTGTCCAAAAGCTGCTGCCAGTTCTGCTGGGCCTAGATTGGTTTTGCCTGCTTGGCCTATCCCTGTCTGGGGTGCACCTCATGGCGGACACATCCCCCGGCATTGAAGACGTCTTGGCAGATTACGCCATCTTTGATGGTAAGCTAGGGGAGTACAAGGGGACCCCTATCTCCCTTAACCTAGACCTCCCAGGTTGCCCCTATTAGGCTGAAGGCCTGCAGGGTGCTTTTTGCCTTGAGGCCCAAGGTGGATGCGGAACTCAACAAACTGTTGGCGCAGGGCATCCTGGAACCTGTCGACCACTCTAGATGGGAGACCCCCCCATAGTGGTCCCGGTCAAGGCCGACGGGTCCATTAGGATCTGCACCGACTATAAGTCGACCATCAACCTTGGCCTTCAGGCAAACCCCTATCCAGTCCCTGTGGTGCAGCACCTGCTCCATTCCCTGGGGCGGGGCTGCACCTTTGCCAAACTGGACATGGCCCAGGCCTACCAGCAACTCCCAGTGGATGACGATGTGGTGGCTGCTCAGACCATCATCACCCATCATGGGGCCTTCCGTTGTCGCCGCCTCCAATTCAGCGTTTCCATTGCCCCGGGGATCTTCCAGCGCCTCATGGAGCGGCTGCTCCATGGGCTCCCTGGCATCACCCCCTACTTTGATGACGTCCTGATCGCTGCAAGCAGCCGCTCAGGGCTCATCAAAGTACTTTGGAAGGTCCTCAACCGTTTTAGGGACGCAGGTCTCAAATTAAAAATTTAAATAAAGTAAAAATTTAAAAGTCTTAGCTTAATTACAATGAAACTCATCACCTAACGCTAATACAAATAATGAATAATGCCAATAACGCTAATAAATATAAGGGGATCCCTATATCATTTAACCTGGATTCCCAAGTGGCACCCATCTGTTGAAAAGCCTGTTGGGTTCCCTTTGCCCTACAAGCCAAAGTAGAAGCCAAATTAGAAGANAAAATACGGTATGTGCGAAAAGAACCTTTACCTTCACCTTTGGTTCTGTAATGCCATCTGAATCAAAACCCAGAACGCACACTTGGCATACATTTGTAAATCAAAAAGAGACAGCATGCTATTTCATTATGACAGATTCAGGTCAGTGTGTGTGTGTGTGTGTATTTATTTATATTTATACAATGTGTGTGTTTATATTTAAAAAGCGTAAGTCGAGCCAACTGACTAGCTGAAACTCTGCAAAAAAAAAATAAAAACATTGGGAGCAAAGAAGGGAGGGAGGGAAGGGAGGAAAAACGAAGGGCACGAGTGCTTACTCCTGAAGGCGTTTCTCCAGCACAAGCGCTGATGTGAGCTTTCTTCTCAGGGTGCTGAGTTCCAGTTCCAGTTCTTTGCTTTTGGATTGCGCTCTGGACAGGTCAGAAGTCAAGTCGTTGATGGCAGGAATAAAACTAAAGATAAAAAGCCCAGGATTTGGTGGTATTTTGTTTACATCGAGAGCTGTCATAGAATTTAGCAATTGGTCACTATGAAATTCTGAGGGAGTTCTAATAAGTAAATAAACAGGTAGATTTCTTAAAAAATGGAATTTTTATTACAAACTTCGATATTCTCATCTCATTCATGGGCTTAGCATTTAGAAGACTAATATGTACCCCACAAAAAACTAAAATGTGATAAAAGTTGAACCATCCACCTGTTCCTCTATTTTCTTTATTTCTTAAAGTGTAAGCTACCATTTTGAGAAAGAGAATCTCTAAATGGAAACGGATGAATAAATCAATAAAACTGTACTAGATTCTACCAAAGTTATTTCAGCCTCGAAGTTGAAATAATAAACAAATGCTGTACAGAGCTAATCTAAATTTCAATCATGTTTTAAAGCTAGAACTGTAGATTTCCGACTGTTCTACAAACCAGGGTAGAAAATATTCTGTTCTATAGGGGGGCAAAGGCATGCAGGCAGATATGGCTAGAGATAAATAGATGATAGAGACAGAGATGAAGGCAGACAAGCAGATATGAATAGATGAGAGAGAGAGAGAGATGGATAGAGATAAATAGATGTTAGAAATAGACAGATCGGCAGGCAGCTAGAAATGGATAGATATAGATGAGATAGGTAGATAGATGATAGATAGATAGATAGATAGATAGATAGATAGATGGATAGATGGATAGATGGATAGATGGATAGATGGATAGATGGATAGATGGATAGATGGATAGATGGAT